ATCATCTCCCAAACCATCCACAACCTCATCACTTCAGGTGACCTCCCACCTGCAGTGTCCAACCTCATCGTTCCCCAACCCCACACTGCCCGTTTCTATTTCCTTCGCAAAATCCACAAACCTGACTGCCCTGGTTGACCCATTGTCTCCGCCTGCTCCTGCCCCACTGAACTTATCTCCACCTATCTCGACTCCATTTTCTCCCTCTTGGTCCAGGAACTCCTTACCTACGTCCGTGACACCATTACGCCCTCCACCTCCTCCAAAACTTCCAATTCCCTGGTCCCCAATACCTCATCTTTACCATGGACATCCAGTCCCTATACACCTGCATTCCCCATGCAGATGGCCTAAAGGCCCTCCGCTGCTTCCTGTCCCACAGGCCTGACCAGTCCCCCTCCTCTGACATCCTCATCGGCTTAGCCGAACTCGTCCTCACCCTCAACAACTTCTCTTTCAATTCCTCCCACTTCCTACAGAGAAGGGGGGTGGCCATGGGTACCCGCATGGGCCCAAACTATGCCTGCCTCTTTGTAGGATACGTGGAACAATCCCTCTTCCAAAGCTACACTGGCCCTATCCCCCACCTCTTCCTCCGTTACATCGATGACTGTATCGGCGCCGCCTCGTGCTCCCACGAGGAGCTCGAACAGTTTATCCGCTTCACTAACACCTTGCACCCCAACCTTAAGTTCACCTGGACCATGTCTGATACCTCCCTCTCCTTCCTGGGCCTCTCTGTCTCCATCTCTGGCATCCACCTGGAAACTGATATCCATTTCAAGCCTACCGACACCCATAGCTACCTAGAATACACCTCCTCTCACCCACCTTCCTGCAAAAAGGCCATTCCCTATTCCCAATTCCTTTGCCTCCGCCGCATCTGCTCCCGAGATGAGGCATTCTACTCCCGGACATCCCAGATGTCCTCGTTTTTCAATGGCCGCAACTTCCCCTCCACAGTGGTCGAAAATGCCCTCGACCGTGTCTCCCGGATTTCCCGCAACTCATCCCTCACTTCCCCTACCCGCAATAACAATTAAAACAGAATCCTCCTCGTCCTCACGTACCACCCCACCAACCTCCGGATCCAACGCATCATCCTCCGACACTTCCACCATCTGCAATCTGACCCCACTACCAAAGACATTTTTCCCTCCCCACCCTTATCTGCTTTCCGGAGGGACCACTCTCTCTGTGACTCCCTTGTCCGCTCCACACTCCCCTCCAGCCCCACCACCCCCGGCACTTTTCCCTGCAACCGGAGCAAGTGCTACACCTGCCCCTACACCTCCCCCCTCACTACCATCCCAGGCCCTAAGAAGACCTTCCACATCAAACAGATGTTCACCTGCACATCTGCTAATGTGGTATACTGTATCCGCTGTTCCCGTTGTGGCCTCCTCTACATCAGGGAAACCAAGCGGAGGCTTGGGGACCGCTTTGCGGAACACCTACGCTCGGTTCGCAACAAACAACTACACCTCCCAGTCATGAACCATTTCAACTCCCCCTCGCACTCCTTGGACGACATGTCCATCCTGGGCCTCCTGCATTGCCACAATGATGCCACCTGAAAGCTGCAGGAACAGCATCTCATATTCCGCTTGGGAACCCTGCAGCCCAAGGATATCAATGTGGACTTCACAAGCTTCAAAATCTCCCCTCCCCCGACCGCATCCTAAAACCAGCCCAGCTCGTCCCCGCCTCCCTAACCATTCGTCCCACCTCAAGCCCCAGCCCTATCTCCTACCCACTAACCTCATCCGGCCTCCTTGACCTGTCCGTCCTCCCTGGACTGACCTATCCCCTCCCTAACTCCCCACCTACATTCACCTTTACTGGCTCCATCCCCGCCTCTTTGACCTGTCTGTCTCCTCTCCACCTATCTTCTCCTTTATCCATCTTCTATCCGCCTCCCCCTCTCTCCCTATTTATTTCAGAATCTCCTTCCCCTCTCCCATTTCTGAAGAAGGGTCTCGACCCGAAACGTCAGCTTTCCTGCTCCTCTGATGCTGCTTGGCCTGCTGTGTTCATCCAGCTCTACACCTTGTTATTTCAGATACTAAAAGATGCTCAGCCCTTCCTGATTACTATTATTAACACGTAATTTTAATTGTAATATGGCTGAAATGATGCCTGGAAAATTTTTCCCAAGATTTCCTTAGTGTTTCACACCTCACTGCTTCACTATTTTCTCAAAATTACCATGTCAAACTATACCTTAAATCATGAGGTGGGTAATTGAACAGCTGTGAATGAACCAGTGCCACACATATCCATTATATTCGTCCATAAATCACACTTTATTGAAAATCAAGTGATTTAGATTTTTTCTTTCCTCATTACAGGATGAAAGCTAACTGCAAATTATTTTACAAAATTAAAAGAATTGAATGTATTTGATTTTAAAGAGGTTAAACAATAATGAAAATTGTCATTTGGTTGTACAAAACTTTAAATAAAGGAGAAAAACAACATTTATACGAGGAGAGGAGAGTGCTGATTGGCAAATGAACTCTGATTTGTAGAGATATTACCATTGGAGAATTCAGCAGTTAATGTTTTAGGTTAAGATTTTCCCCTTTACTGTGTTCTTGCGAATTGTCCTGATGAGTACATGGTGAAATGCTTTGACAAAATGTCTTTTTTCAGTAATACTCAGCAAATGAAAATGGGATAAGAGAAATAAGAAGGGGAATTTTCATGGCCTATCTTTGATATGTTTTTTGACTAGGAACTTGAAGCAGACTTAAAACAGATGGAGACAATAAAAGAACTGTATCAGAAAAAGAACTATGAGCAGGTCTGTACACAGACAAAAACGTGAGCATTATTTATCTCTTAAGAAATAATATTTATTTTATCAATTATTTAACTGTAGATAAAACTTTAGGGTATACACTGAGGGCAGGGTCCCAGTACACCAACATAAATTTGGTTGGCATTCCCAACTTTAATTTTTTGGGCAATGGATCTTCAGTTAATGTGAGGCAGGATTCCATTCCCTCTCCAAGGGAAATTCTGCCTCATAGATTGACAACTAATAGTACCTAGCAACCCTCCATCACGTCAGGATCAGTGGCCACTTCTGGTTTTCCAGGAAGCCTGAGAAGCGTGATGGATCCCGCAAACCCAGGATCTTGCTGGAGACAATAAGGACTACAGATGCTGGAACCCAGAGTCTATAGGTGTGAGGAGGGTTTCAGCCTGAAACATTGACTTTCATGCTCCTCTGATGCTGTCTGACCTGTGCTTTTCCAGCTTCACACCAACGGACCCAGCATCTTGCTGAGACTGAGTTAGCAGATCTTGGTGCATGGGGATGGAGCTGCATGCTGGAGAGCATGAGGGGAGGGTGGATGAAGAAAGGCAGGACTTTGAGAGTAGAAGGGGAGCCGTAAATTGGCAGGGTTCCAGGAAGAAGGCACCTCCCACTGCACCACCTCCCCTCTCATCTTCCTCCCTCCCACCCACCTCCACCCCCTCCCCATCCAACCTCCCTCCTTTTCACTGACCAGTAGCCCATTAGTGTTAGGCCTGCCAGACTACATGTTAGGCACAGGCATTTTCCACTTCCCATTAGACTAGAGGGACATAAGGCTGAGGCCCTTAAATAGATTACCCACTTATATCCTCAATTGGGTCGCAGATGTGAATCCATCTGACGCTGTGCCACTGCCCATAAAATCATGGCATCTGGTCTGTGCTGGATATCATCAAGCTTCATTAAAAAAGTGGAAAAATGATTAGCGTTCTACTACAGCTCCTAATTTCATTCTCGTAGATGGTGGATAACATCTAAATGTGTTCAGTTTTATTGAAGTCAGGATTTTTTTTTAACTTGTGGCTCTTTTTATGCTTTGTTATATTGTAGTTGTTTCTTTTTCTGCAGTCTCAAATGATACAGAAGTTTATGACGGAAGTGCAGAGTCTACAAGAAGAGCTTCAAAATGTGGCGAAGTGTCAGCTTGAGTCAGCATCCCTCCACAAACAGCAAGAACTCCAGTTAAAGAAGGAACATAAGTTAAGTCAAGAGCTGAGGAGTAAGTGTCAGGTGGGATGTCTTCTGTATCCATGCTTTTATTAGACAAAGAAAAATGTTAATTTTTTGTCATCTGCTGTTAAAAGGGAAGATTTGCATTTGAGCAATCAACTGCTTTATAAGGCAAAGAAAAATTGTGTCAGGATTTATAATGGAAGGCCAATGTGCAATCTACTGTTTTGTAAGCTTGCTTCCCCTTTGAAGTATTGAAATTGCTGATTAACACTAAATTGTATTTCCTTTACATTTATGTGTTTATATCTTTCTAATATAACTAGTCCCAAAATGAAGAAATATTGGTATTAACAGAAAGTGTCATTTGCCCAACCTACTTGAACTTATATGGGCAGTGCCACAGGGGCCCCAGTTTCATCCTGAAGTGAGCTGCTGCCGTAGACATTAAGGGCAGTTGTAACCTTGATAACCTTGATATCTTCGATTGACATCTGATCCTGTGGGCGCATGTCCTTGCCCAATGGCTGGCATAGCTGTGAAATGATGGATCAGAACATTGTTAATCCTTTGCTGTATTGCCCTTCTGACACTGGCAGATAACTGCAACAAAGCGTGTAAACCCTCGTTCTCATCATTCCTGTGTGATGAGGATTTTTTTTTAATTAGAGGGTCATGAACTTTTGGAATTCTCTACCACGGAGGACTGTCAGCTTAATCTTTATGTATGTTTAAAGGCAGAGGTCATAGATTTTTGATTAGCCAGAGGCATACAGAGTTATGAGGTTTGGGTGAGTAAAAAGCATTGCAATGTTCAGTCAGCCATGATTATATTGAGTGGCAGGGCAGGCTGGATGGGCTGAATGACCTACTCCTATTTCTTTGTTCATATGTGCCTTTGGTGACTGTTCTTGCCAGGTTTGCTGAAGACCTCATCTCCACTGTCTCCTTGTGTTGTTAATTTATCAGTAGAGTACAGGAATGACAGACATGGCTTCTGACATTTGAACTCCATAAGCAGATAATCTATGGGGAAATTCAGAGTAATGTTGCAGTATTATCGAAGGGACTCCCGAGCCCCCTCACCCTTAGCAATTGAGCTGAACCTGATGCCCTCACATGGAAGATTCGCAAGGAACTTATTTCCATGCCTCAATAAAGTTCTCTGAGAAATGTGGCCTTACCAAATTCACAGTGGATAGCCAACGTGATTATGCTGCATTGGGAATATATTTTAGCCAGTAGGCCACCATGAAAACAGCCAGTCCCCAAATCCTCCCTCGCCCAATTACAGCCTTACTTATTCTAAGTGAGGATATGTGTTGTCTTGTAGAACTTGCTATAGATTGTCATTGTCAAATGGCAACACCATGTTCAGCTTTTAAGTTCCATGTTACAATCCGAATTGTTGAGCTTGCATAAGGTGGGCGTAAATAATTAGTGTAATGTAATGTTCATGATTGCTTGAGGACACAACTCGTCTGCATGCCTTGATTATTACTGACCTCCAAATGAAGCGAGAATTGAAGGTAGATGGATAACATTGCTTAACCAGTGAAGGTCTGATTACTGCAAATGCCCCTTGCAGCCCCTCAAAAAAGAATTGTGCAAACTCTATCCTTCTGGAAAAATGACAATACTTTTATTGCACTCACTTTGCATGCATGCCATCCATTTTGTGAACATTGCGTAGATGACTTTTGATCTGATAAGTGAGGTTTCAACCTTGTGTTTGCATGAGTGACTTGTGGGCCCTGTCTGTGGTCTGCAAATTTCTCCCCATTCTTTGTCATTTTTTGTGTTTGTGTTGCTGTAGCCCTGATGACCTTCACCTTCTCCTATTTTGGTTCAGTACCTTTTATATCACTATGAATTTGACTACTTTATCCCCATAAACCGTAAATTTAGAGGCTCCTACTCCCTTGCTGGCTCGACATCCTCCCAGTGCAGAGACCAGAGAAACTGTGTCCTGCTTGAAACCTTCAAGAGCTCCATGTCCATTTCCATTAATTACAAGGTTCCACCTTCTGTCACAGGTAGACTCCTAGATGCTTGCGGCACTAGAGGCTATTTGGCGCATTGTGTCTGTGCTGGTCAACAAAGACCTGACTACATTAATACCATTTTCCAGCTCTTGGTCCATAGCCCTGGAGGTTATGGCAAGGCAAGTGGATATCAAAATGCTGCTCAAGTGTTCCAAGAGTTTCTGACTCGGGCACCCTTTCAGGCAATGGGTTCCAGACTCTTGCCACCCTTTCTGTTTAAGAAAACATTCTCCTCAATTCTCCTCTTAGCCTCCTGCCTCCTACCTTAAATCTATGCCTCCTTACCCCCTATCCATGTCATCATTCTCACAGCAACCCAATACAATGAAGCCTATTCCCAAACTTGATCTGCACTCTTTCCTCAGGATGCCATGGACTTCCCCTTGAAGAGCCCTTAACTATTAGTGGTCAAACAGCCATGATTGATCTGCTTACACTTTACCTCAAGAACTAACCATGGCTCAAGTCCGGAAGTACAAGGGCATGGATGTCCTAACTTGTGTAGGACCAAGAACCTGGCTGACTCTGACCAACGCCCTGGATTATAATAAGACCAGGTCCTGACTGGTTGGAGTCCACTCTCACCCCAATAAGCATTCAGCCATTTAGACTTCATTACCTCAGTCACGTAGGTGATGCCACATGCTGCAGCTCTGATGCTGACATGGAGCTGTGCCATATAGCAACATATCAACCTCCATCTGACAAATTTACTGTTTAGTGCTCTGTACTGCCACAAGTGGCCTGTTTCTTCTATGCTAAAAGACCAGCTAAACCACAAACGCTACCTGCCTCTGAGTTAGTGTTAAAGACCTTGTGCAATAAGGACCATGCTATACAACAATGGCTGCCTGGCCCTAAATGGCACTAAAAACCTTATGCGAAATAAAGCAAGCTAAAACACAGAAGGTACCTGGCTCCTTGTCAGCACTGAAAACCTTATTGATACTTCAGATTCTTGGCTGCCCCTCAGCACAAATGACCTGCAGAAGCATATAAGCCCTAGCTGAGATCAAACATGATGATCTTGTTACACGGGTACTTTGCTGATGCCAGGCTGCATGGATGAACGGTCCAGGAAGAACATGCCTAATTACAATGAAGGCACGTTGTGTAGAATAATTCTGTACTGGATGCTGACCAGACACTTCACCAGATCCCTCTGTTTCGCTAGTGGTTTTTTCAATTGTGGAGAGGAAAATTGGAAGTGTGATGTTAAGTTGGTGAGTTTGGCTAATAATGAAATGCAAATGCATGGAAATAAGCTTCTCAGCACCCAACTGGGAGATTCTGAACTCATCATTTAGATAAAAGGACTTGATCAGGAGAAGTTTTCACAATGTCATGAATCTGATTTTGAACTCTCGCCCAATTAAGTCACCTTACTCACCATCATTCTTGTCACCTCTGAAAGTAGAGAATTCCACCCTCAGTCTTTTCTCCACCACTCTGTTCAGGTGGACTTGGCTAAGAATGCAATCACTTTATAGCGACTGGCTACATTTGGAGTTAGAATGCAAGGCAGTTGTGGTTCTCTTCTTTCTCTACCATCCTTTTAATCAGTTTCCCTTAAAATAGCTTTGATTGCTTTCACAATTTAATTTGTCCTTTAAAAAAAAGTCAGTAAGAATTAACACTTTGATAGGCATTAGTAATTATGATATTTACATAACAAATTAGCTTTCACTATTTTCTGCCTGCAAAGTGTTGTGCATGCGAAATTGGGTTAACTGTTTTGTTTTGGGCATTATCAGTACTGTTTGTGATCTAAAATGGATTCCTTAGTGCATGTACACTCCTGTGCTGAAATGCAGAGGCGACTGTTTTGATTACACCCTTAGCGTGCACAGTTAACATTTGCCAGAAGCACACAGAAGAGGATGATCATGACATCAGTTGATATTGAATTCTGATTTGATGGCATCACTACATTTAAGAGATCCACACTCCAGTCCTTCCCTCAAGATCGCACAGTTGAACCCTGTGTTAAACTGGAAGAAGAATCTCTTATCAATGCTTTCTAAAAGAAAGATCAGTTAGATCAATAGGTTAGTGTTTGTTATTTTTTCCAGCAGATTCAACAGTTCTACATATTTTATCATGCTATCTATAGTATTTCAACTTTGGAAGGCTTACATGATGCAGTAAATGCTGAAGTACTTTTTGCTGACTTCAAGTTTTGCACAACCAGTTGCTCCCAAATAGGAATGTAGTACTAGGTCTTTCTCTTAGAATCAAGCATGTCTTGAAAAATGGAGCCACTGTCAGATCCCCAGGGATATTGGTAAACAGAAGATTGCTAGATTGCTATAACCTGCCACAAGACTTTTTGAACACAAATACATGGCCATAATATCAGATGTCTGAGCTCACTTTGCCGGAAACTGATCTTGCTCAGCATCCGTTCTGAAGAAGGGTCACACCAGACTTGAAACAAACTGTTTCTGTCATCATGGATGCTGCCAAACCTGCAGTTTTTCTTCCAGCATTGTGTTTCCTGCTCAACAGCAATCTGAGTTTCCATGATGGCACTCAAACCTTTGGAAGCTGCTTGTACTACAGTGGACACTGACCTAAGACATTTCATCATGGTTGGGTCTATAAACAGGTTGATAGAGTTAGTTACAAATTCTGGCCTGTTCTCACCTCAACGTTTGTAGACTGGAAAAGCTGGGACTATTTTTTCACTGGAACGTAGGAGGTTGAGGGTGACCTTATTGAGGTTTATAAGTTCATGAGGGGCATAGATAAGGTAAATGACAAGAGTCTTTTCCCTAGGGTGGGTGATTTTAAGACTAGGGGGCATATTTTTAAGGAGAGAGAAGAAAGATTTAAAGAGGACATGAGAGGCAACTTCTTGTTTTTTTACACAGAGTGGTTCATATATAGAATGAACTGCCACAGAAAGGGGTGGATGCAATTACAGTTACAATGTTTAAAAAACATTTGGATAAGTTCGTGAAAAGGAAAGGTTTGGAGGGACAAAAACAAAGTCGCTGGAAAAGCTCAGCAGGT